TCATGGTAAATTGCGTAACAGTAACCAGCTACATGCTAATATTAGTCATAAATTAATTAACACAGTTCATGACATACGGGTCACTGCCTTTGTTATGTTCTTTAATACACAATATAGGCTAGGCTGATTAGCTTCAAACCATCAGCATAATGAACACAAGTGTATAATGATTTACCAGTGGACTTCATGCCAGTTGTTAACGTTACGCGTATTACTCATGTAAATGTATCGTGCAAATAGAATGAAAATGTATACTGATATGCAGAGGTGGACGGTAACAAAGTAAAGGTAGTAAAGTACTGTAATTAGGTATACATTATAGGTATCTGCACTTTACTTAAGTACATTTTAATAGGACAGTCTGGAATTTTGGACATAGGACCTCATTTCCTAGTTGGAGTTTTGGAGACGTGTGGAGACATTTTTTTAAATATTCCATCCAGTCCTTGTATTGGCAGAGGTCGCTGGTGCTAGGCTAGCGCATGTCAACGGCCATAGTTATCCTGCCACTAAAAACACTCCACAAAACACCCTAAGCAATTTATTATTACACCAGACTGTCGATGTGAATGTCTGTGTTGATAGAATAATTTTAGAAGTAAAACCAATTGCATTTGAAGGATTTATGCCTGAGTAGCAGCAGCGAGTTGTACTTCTTGATAGAAAGCTTGGCAGCGGCAGACTGATATCACCTAGCACCTATCTCACCGGTAAAGTAAAATTCCGCTGCTGAGAAAATAGTCCCTCAACCTGCGGCGATTCATGTAATGCAAGTTAGTTTAATTTCAAACATTATTCTATCAACACAGACATTCACATCGATAGTCTGACATTATAATAGATTTGCTTTGTGGAGTGGGTGAGACTGTTTTTAGTGTCAGGCTAACTATGTCCATTAACATGCACTAGCCTAGCACCAGCGACCAGTGCAACTACAAGGACTGGATGGAATATTTTAAAACACTCTGGCTTACTGGAAATGAGTTTCTATGTCCAAAATTCCGGACTGTCCCTTTAAAGCTTACTTTTGAGAGCATGTATCTGTACTTTTTACTCCACTACATTTTTAACAGGACTTAAAAGTAAAAGTATTTTTTTTATTATTGTATGAGACCTGCTGAAGATACAACACAAATCTTTATCAAAATCATTATATTTGAACATTTATAAGATCTCAAAATCTACTTTTACTTTTTACTATTTAAGAGCATTTTTAAACAGGTACTTTAATACTTTTACTAAAGTTGATTTTTTTTTCTTGTGACACTTTTACTTGAGGTTTTTTTTTGTTTTGTTTTTGCTCCAGTATCTTAACTTTTACTTAAGTAACAAAATCAAGCACTTCTTCTACCACTGTTGATATGGCTTTAGAGTAGCCATTAGTCACAGCTACTATGGCAGGAAAAAACAAAGGAAAAAGAGAGTAAACCTAAAATCACTTTTACTAGCTGCCTTAAATTTCAACAGTGTAATTTCTGTAAAAATGGACACCTGGAGATAACTTTACAACATTTAACTTGGCGCTTTGTACTTCAGTGTATTAGTAATTTGACATACTGAAGTTGAGATTTATAAGGCTTGTCAGACTATAACTCGCTTCCTACCATTTATCTTAAGACTTTGAACTTTTTGACAAATGGCTCCTCCTTTTGTGGTGGTAATACCTGCTTTATTCACTTATCCAGCCAAAAACCATCATATTTGACAAAGTGTGCTCTCTACATTCAGCAGTTCCCTACATTTTCACCACATACCAAAGTGAAGCCTTTTTATTCTAGCTGCTGTCTTTCTTGTCATCCTGGATCACTCTGGTGTAGTTCAGGGCCCCTATCAAAGCAGGACAGGGTGCAAACATGGAGAACAGCTGCCAGCACTAACTGGTCCCAATCCCACACAGGCGAAGACAGATCAGACTTCCTCAGACTACATTATGTCTGAGTACTTGACAATGCCATCACCTTGTCATAGTACTGCTTTAACCTATAGACTGTTAAATTTACCCTGTATTTTGGTGATGTGTTCTTGTCTCCTTTTACAGTCCTCTCGAAGTGTACTTTTGAAACAGGAATATTGGCTTTAAAGGGCCCATATTATACTATTTTCTGAGCTGTTATAATGTTGTTTCTTCATCACAAACATACTTGGAGTTGTGTTTTGTTTCAGTCCCACATGTTTAACACACAACCCTGCATATTTAGGCTGAGTTTTTCTTTATGTGGTTGCCAATCTCTACTGAACAAAAGGTAAAAGGTAGCTGTGAAGAGGTGGAACAGCATTTTGAGCTTTAGAAATATAAACAAACTAATAATAAAGGGTTACTCAAACATGTATAAATGAAACAAAACGCAACTCCAGGTCTGTTTTTGAGGAGGTATCAACATCATGGCTTAAAGCTCACTGACTGAAATTTGAACAGCTAAATTAATACAAGAAAAACATGCATTCCAGTACATGTGTATAGAGATAAGGGTAACAGGTTTTCTAAGAACCCGTGTAGACACAGGGAGATTCATTTCTCGTGGAGGACAATATTATCTTGCAAAAATAATTGTAGCCTCTGCTAATTATGACCTTTCATTTTGCAATTTCAATTTGACTGCAATTATTCTCCCTATTCCAATTTTTATGTGAGATAGTTTTAGACTGCTTTTAACGTGTTTCTTTTTTCTGATTTCTGAAATCTATGAGCAAAGAATAAATAATACTCTTATTAGCAAAGAGTATTATTTACTCTTTGCTAATAAGTAAAAATACTTTATTACAATGACAGCCGACACTAATATAAAGGTGTACTACGTCCCTTTTTTGAAGGGTAGGCCACCTGGTTGCATCCACAGAAATGTAATTGTTATTCCTGGAGTTTTCCACAATATGACACTTAACTTATTTATCTGAGCTAGAGATAGCGATGTAATGTAATGTCATACTGTAGAAAATTCCATACAAATCAATATCATGTTCATGGACCACTTACCTGAAAAGTAACATAGTGCATCTTTAGTGTATAGGCCGGTCAGCTGTGGTATATTTCAAGATTAACAATGATCAAGAGTTAATTATGCCATTGTCAAAATATACCTATGACACTGCACTACCTATAGCTGAAAGTGTGAAAAATGGGACAATGAGGCGTTCTGTCTGTCCCTAAGAAGATCGGAAAGGGATAATATTAGTTAAAGAAGTGAAAAGGCTTACCAGTCTTGCCCTTCCTTTTGAGCAAGAACTTAATTTAATGCGTTCATTTCATTTCCATGACAATGTAACCACCTGCCCGGCCTGCCAGAGGAAGAAATGACTCAGGAGAATTAAAATGAGAGACGTGAATAGTGGCATTGTTGGATCAAAAGACATTATGTAAAAAATCAAAGAAATTGTTCTGTAACTGTCAAATGTGAAGAAAAGTGGATTATGTCATCTAATGAAATAAATGAAAGTACTTTTAGTCAGTCAAACGCTACAAGTATGCAAATGAACTTGAGTCTTTGAGTTCCTCGCTAACAATGTGAGGAGAGGACACAGTAGAGGAGGGAGAAAACATCAAAATGACGAATGGGTCAGACAGCAGCTCTGACAGCGAGCGGTGTTTTAGCCTCAGACCTACAACCTCTGCCTGAGAAATAGCACACACACACATTCATACATATGCACACAAAACTACACACAAATGCACAAAGCACACACAAGCACACACAGGGAGGGTGGTTAACAAGGATACTGCAGGTCACAATCGTCTCACATGAGGCTCATGTAGGCTGCTAATTGACTTCATTAAATCTCCATTAATCCGATGCTCAGTGGAAGGAAAATGAGCTAAAAAAGACAATGAAGCAAGTTTCCCCAAAACCTTTTGTATACGGGCTGCATACTAATACCACCCAAACCTCTACTTTATTCAACCCTCATTTATGAAAATGTGCAGTTAATATCTGCTTCCCTATTAGTAATCTACTACTCCAGTAGTGATTTGCTTATTTTTTTTACTCCCTATTGCAAAAACAGAGCACTTATGCACTTTGGGATCATCACTAAATTGAATCTATTGTATTCTATGTAATATTTAATGTAATTTTTCTCAGCACATATATTGGCTTTAGTGGACTTTTCATCTCATCTTCATCCATTTCCATAGCAACGCTCCTCTAATGGTTTTCTGTTCCTGTGTCAGTGATAGCTATGACAAGAAATATGCAATCAGCTAGACTGATCTGTGTATTATAAAGGATATAGAAATTTCAATTATGGCAATAAATCAGTTGGCAGCTTGACTAGCTGTGAGGTCATACGGCGTGTCAATCAGGTGCCACAGTAAGGCGCCAGTGACAAAAACAACCATTGTGTCCTTAGGCAAGACACTTAACCAACATTGCCTACGAAAAAAGTGGTGTGTGTGTGTGTGTGTGTGTGTGTGTGTGTGTGTGTGTGCGTGCGTGCGTGCGTGTGTGCGTGTGTGTGTGTGTGCGTGTGTGCGTGTGCGTGCGTGCGTGCGTGTGTGTGTGTGTGTGTGTGTGTGCGTGTGAGATGGTTGGTGGTGCTGATGGCGCTGATTGGCAGCCTTGCCTCAGTCAGTCTGCCTCAGGGCAGCTTACCAACAGTGAGTGTGAAGTGAATGAATAATGCAGTGTAAAGCACTTTGGGTGTCATGAAAGGTACTATATAAATCCAATGATTAATTAGTCCCTCAGTCATCCAGGTAGGATCCAGAGCAAAAAAGAAATTCAATTCTGTCAACTGGACAACATGAGTAATTAGATTATTAATTATTAATTACGTGATCCATTAGACTGTAACTAATCAGAATGTTACGTTTTCCAATGTACTTTAGACTGCACTATTTGACACACTAAAACATTAAATCATATACCAAAGTAACCATATGTTAAGAATGGACTAGAATGAACTCTAATCTTTCAAAATAACACATTCGGCTGCTTACACATAAACACAGTATTTGTATGTAAATGTATAAATTCTAATATATCAATGTGCCATCATCATTTCAGAGGAACAACAAAAAGAGGTAGAGGAGGAAGAGGAGGCTCTGACGGGAAAAGACGAAGAGGAGAGGCGCATCGCAGAGATGGGCCGGCCCATGCTGGGGGACCATGTCAAACTGGAGGTCATCATAGAGGAGTCCTATGAGTTCAAGGTAAGATTCTCAGTCTGCTTTCAATACCTAACAATTACAGATGTCTTTTCTTTTCTTTTTTTTTATTCAACTGATGTAGGAGATTCTTTTTATTATTTTAAACTTCTACCCACTTCCAGCCATTTGGCTAGAATGTCTATCTGGAATCTAACTTGTGGGATGTATTTCAAAACAAGTGCATGTTGATTTTGTAAGAAAAAATATTTGACCACCTGTGCAGATCGGTGTGCACCATCTTAAAATCTGAAGTTTAAATCTGGCCCTAGAACATTTTCATTCAGCGGAAAAGAAGTTAGTGTTGTGAGTGGAAAAAAGCTGGACAAGTTAAGACTGGATCGAGATCAAGTGCGCAAGTCAACAGCTCAAATAAGATGTTTCAGACCTCTCATTGAGGTCAGGAGAGGGGGCTGGACAAATCAGAAAAAATAAAGTCAGACAAAAATAGTACAAAAATAAGATAAAATATAAAGAATGATTAAAATAAGGTAAAAACTAAATATAAATACAAATGTAGGGCAGATAGTGACTATATTAGCAAAAGGAACGTATGTAACATTTACATAATATAAACAGCACCTATATCATGTCCCCAGGCATGAGGTAGACATATTCAAATCAAATATACTGCTTACTAATAAGAATTGTAATGCTGATGTATTTTGAATTACAAAAGCACTGGACATGATGGACCTGATGGCCAGTTGTTTATGATATAATTTGGTGTGATGGGTCTCAAGATGACTATCCACACACAAAACTCATTTGGTGTTCCAGTCTCAATGCTGAAATCCAGTTGGTTAAAACCTTAAATGCCTCTCTCTAAATCTTCACCTCAACCCCAACACCTACAGAATGGCCTGTCCATATACTGAGAATATGTCTTTTATATGCAGGTTAAGGCACTGGCAACACGTTCAGTTGTGACTGTACAGCCTAAATAGAGTTCCTTTAATGGGTGTATTGAAAGAACAGATAGTTTGCAGAAGTTGGAGTTGGAGAGAAGGCGTTGAGGTGGCCCCATAGATGTAAAGCATAAGCATAATTTTCACATTCCCATAAGCACCTACAATATCCCCCTATCCTTTCTCTGTCTCCATCTTAACAGATAGACAGACAGTTAATAACCCCTCACCACTTGACAGGGCGCTGTACTTTGACAAGTGGTGTGGTACATTAAAGGGAGTGAGTGTATGTATGTGCAGCACTATACAGTTATCTCAAGTGCAGTCCATTTGGCAGGTGCTGCAGATCTGTGCAGTAGAGTGGCTGACATAACAGACCTTCTGGATCAAACTGAAGAGGTTGAACTATAGTTTCCATGGTGATTTATTAGGGAAAAGTAGATGAAGAAAGAATCTTGTTCGGTTGCATGGATAAAATTGGCTCTAGGTGATGTGGCCAAAAAATGAATAATATAATCACCTTTATTTTATTCTTTTTAATAACAAATAAACACGGTTCTCAATCTTAATTTCATGCACATATGCAAGACAGCCTTTTAATCATTGTGGTTCATTGGTTTAACACAAAAAAATAGTCCAAAGTTTTTCTCTGGACTAAAAACCACATGTTTTTATTGACAGAGGCTGCAGACTTCTTGATTAAAAAGCTTAGCAAAGTTAATCATTGACAATTTAAAACAATTGAGTCTTGATTTGATTAAAATGCACAGGCCTATACCAGGAATGTTCTCACTTTTAAGCAAAAGCTAAAACATGTGTGAGTGTTATTTAATTTGCAACACTTCGGAACAAAAAAATACACCACATGAATGCAGTTTTTCCAAGCCATCACTCAATGGTTATTAGTTTGTGTCATGCACTCAGTAACCATAGCAACCAGAAAATGCAAACTGCGTCTCATGATAAGGGAGCTAATTTTACCAGAATATGAAATTATAAGCAACCCCCCTTAGTGTGAAGAAACAATCAATCACCAGAGTTAGCAAACAGCCTCCAAGCAACACCACAGTCAAACACAGGTCCCCTTTGGTCCAGACAACTGCAACCTTTTATATGAAACGATATGGCTATTAATTTATAAACCATAATAAGAAGGACATGAATCCAGTTGGAACAGAGTCAAGCTTTACTGCAGACAAGCTGTTGTTTATACTAGTCCAGCTCTTTATGGTTACGATGGAAGCAGACGCAGAACTAACCAAACTGACATTATGAAAGAAAGTACTGGATGCTTCAAGCACTTATTCAGACAAGCACTCTCTTTCTTCAGTTCTTACACAACATGCAGACAAAGGCGAGTTCAAAAAGTCAAAAATGTTACTCAGCTAAAGTGTAAAAAAGTAATAACTAGTCTATTCACTGCAGCCAGCACAGGTTTTAAGCCTACTGCTTAAAGGTGTCTTATCAGTGCTTGAAGGGCCTGCCATCTTCTTCACTCTCTGAGATGTTATGGCTTTGCCAGTTAGGTCAGATCTGTAGAGAGGCTCATAACTAGTAATATCTATATTTAATAGATAGACATTTAATTGCATATTGAGAAACATTCCAGCAATCAAAGCAATAACATCTCCTTGGAAACAAGCAGTTGGTGGATCCTGGAAAAGTTTAATAGTGCATCTTTAATTACCAGGATACTGAAGGCAGTGCAGTATCAAGTTATTTTGAAGATAGAGCTAATAACATGTTGATTTAGCCTGATTCATCAGCCAGTTTCACTTTGTAGAAACCGCCTGACCTCGCAGCGTTAGAATTCGTTTGCTCTGTGGTAGGTGGATACTTTTTTCATTTATCCAATCGCTGCTATTTGGTCATAATGCCCCACTAACAGGGCTAACTGGTATATTAAGCTTTTCCAAATCTCGTAGGAAGAAGGGCAATAACATCTTTACCCTTGATAAAATTCACCAAACATTCTCTTTGTTCCGGCTTTAAATCCTCGATCTCGGGAATTGTTGCAAACATAGAATATATGGCTCTTCGCTGACCAACTCGCACTTCTGGGGTTTTTGCAAACTGTCTAGTGTATTCTGATTCCTGACCTAGTCGTTGGAGAGAAATGAAATTGAGCAGAGACACTAGGTGGCACCAGCCTGACTACTGTTGATTATTAAATGAAAAAAATGTCTACCAGAGTCACATTTTGTAACATTTTTGTAATAAAAGAAATAATTTACCAAAATAACATTTAAACTGTAGGCATATACTAGTATTGTTACTATTATAAAAATCAAAGCAAGACAAGAAAATTCTATTCAATTCCTCACACGCATTTTTAACCAGATCACATTATATCTGACACTGGCAATGCTTCTGTACCTGCAGCAGCAGAAAACAATGTCAAATACAGCCATCCAAATCCAAGCGTAGAATTGAATCTGACAAAGACATGCACAACAGACAGCATTGTGTGGATGTGTGTGTGTGTCGCCTGCTGCTGAGAGGCACTATTTACACCCCTAAGCACCATTCAACACAATTAACATCCCAAGTCCCCTCTGAAGTGGAGAGAAAGGGCTCAACTATACCAGCGCTGGGCTAATTAGAGTGACGAGTTTGTGTGTGCATGCGCCAACTACTGGGTCTTATCAGCTCCTGTCATATAGTACTCTCCTTTTGAAGACGAGCACAAAGAAGTGAGGGGAGGAAGGGTAGAAAGATGGACAGACTGACAACGGAAGAGGAAAGGAAACAGGGAAGGAAGAAATGGGATAATGAGGAGGCTAGGAGGCAAGCTGTTGTGGAAATATTTGTTCATGTCCAATTATCAATAGTGGTGGTAGTGACGTTGTTTACTCACATAGACATAAGAGAAGGTGGTTTTTGAGATGTTACATTTGAAAGTTGTTTGTGAATATAGGAACAAGAATGATGGATGTGGTTCATGTCTGATGGATGTACCTTTATGTAAACACTGAATAAAATCAAATATCTGCTTGGACGCCTACTCATTAAAAACATGTACGGATGCACCGATCTGATACTGGGAGCAGATATCAGGGTCAATACTGAAAAATATGGGCTTCCTAATAATCTGTTCATCTGATTTCCTGGTTGAACATATTATTATACTGATGTAATAAAATGATTTACTGGTCGTTGTTTAATGTATATTTTTTATCTAAATACGCTGAATAGTTTTCCTTCAACTAAGAATGAAACATATTTAACTGCCACATGTTTCTTTTAACCTTGATTACCTTTTCAGTCCTCCGTAAAACTCCAGCACACCATTACCTCCTGCATATGTCGTTAAACAGCCCAGTGCTCATCCCCGCCTCGACAAATGGCTAATTTTAGTAATGAACAGATTTGATCCCCCGATGTCCGAAATGGCACTTTTTATGATGTTTTGTGGCTCAGTGGACAGGCAGAAGGTCTGTTGTCTCATTTAACCACTCTCCTCTTCTTGTCTGTTTCTTTCTATGACAGAACACAGTGGACAAGCTGATCAAGAAAACCAACCTGGCTTTACTGGTGGGGACCAACAGCTGGAGGGACCAATTCATTGAAGCCATCACTGTTAGTGCCGGTAAGTCATTTTATATGCCCTGGACTCATCTCGGGCATCAGTTTGTTCATATATAAATTATTTTAGTGTGCACAGATGCAATTTTACAGTCTGGTACCCACCACACACCACTACAGATCAATATAGGCAAAATTAGAAAGTTGTGATTGAAGCAGTGGAAGGTTTTATGTCAGAAATGCTGGACAATTTTATACCGATTGTGATGCCCAAGTGTGTGAGTGGAGGATAAAGTTGAAATAGTGTTGTCATGGTTACGTGCATCCGAATTGATGGTTGGTGGGGCAGGGCAGATGGGACATTAGAGGAATTAGACGTCTTGCCAGGGCTGCTGCGGTTTTATATGAATACAAGGTCACAGTCAGAAAGCCCATTTTCTAATACAATGGCAACAAAAGCTGCGTATTTATCCCAAAAGCCTTGTAAAAAAGCCATTATAAAAACAAATCACTAACTAAACTAACATTTTTAGTGGAGGGTCCGCCACCTTGTTGTTTCCATGGAGATGGTAGTGCTTTGTTCCAACAGTATGGCATGATCTTGCCTTTGTTCTTATAAATAACTTGAAAAACATCCTTATATCACTCACCTCTCCACAGATCTGTCCTACAACTTGGCCAAGTGGCATCACATGGCATCTCTGTGAAGATAAATACATTAAAAGCCATACTGTGGAACATTTTATGCAGTATTTTGACTGTGATACATATTTGAAAACATCACATAACCCATGCCTCCTTGAAACTTATAAAAAGATACAATTCTGGTAAAAGCACACAGGAGATGAGCTGTGATCCAGACGCATGGTCCTGACCCATCTTTTGGGGGTCACTGATGAAGACCTGTTTACATGAGACAGCACAATGCAGATGCTGTCATATGGCAGGCAGGATGATCCTATGTCATAACACTAATGCACTGTGAAATCCTCAACGGGCAGCACGCAAACATGAGATAAAGCAGCCTGATGAGAGCTGTGTCATGCAAAGAGAAAGACAGACGCATCGTACAAAGCTTGTATTATGCCGTATAACAAGCACAACGTGAATAAATAATACTGTCAATGTCATAAAATACAGTGAATCACGCATGCAACAAAGAGAACATCAGGAAAATGACAGGATTTTCTCTCATTATAAAGCTCTATACACTGATGAGGTATTACACATGACAGTAGCCTAAGGAAGAGTCATGTATGTGGACATTTGATCTGTCACAAGATCTGCAGTATTTACCACAGATTTTATTCATTTATATATTTTTTATTTAATGCTATAGAGCTATAAGTTGGGGAGTGACCCTTAAAACCTCTTTTCATATTTTGAACTTAAAATTTCAGTAATTTTCATCACAACATTCTAAGTTTACTATAAAAAATGAAAAGGTATTTTTAGACCAGTTTTTAGAGTTTGAAAACATTTGGCATACTTCTCTAATCAGTGCGAGATGCTTGTGTCAAATTCTCAGATTCTTACATTCCATTCAATCTTTTATTTCTTGAAACTAAATCAACAAAATATTAAATTGTCTGTTCTTTTTTTTTTATAAACTTTGTATGGTCATATAATATTATCATATATTATTTATTATTTATGATCTGTGGGTCTGTATCTCCCTATTATCTTATTATACAACCCAAAAGAGCCCTGAGCCTTGGTTGGATTACTCAGCTGTCTGCACCATTTGCTTTATGTCATTCCCTCCTATCTTTCTCTCACAATTCCAGTTCTCACTAAAACTGCAATAAAGACCACAAATAAGAACGTTTGGGCACAGTTCCCAGGCGAAATTGGGAGGATAATAAAGCACGTTACAAGGAAAAGTGAAAAAATGCTGCTTTTTTTCAGTCTGCAGAATCTTCACAGTTCATTGGTTCCCGATGGTAACTTGCCCCCTAGAGGAAAAACAACAGTACTGCAGCCTGTGAAACAGAGAATCTTGTAGTGCCTTGAGGATATAGCTGTTACATTTTCAAGCGTGTGTGTGTTTGTGTGTTTTATCAGTATGCGTAACATTTCTAGTGAAGGGTTCATCACCTGCTTGTCTCTATGGAAATGTTATTGCTTTGTCTAGAATGTTCCACAGTGATCTACACAAGTGAGACAGAACTACGCTACATTGCAACTCAGATCTGTGGAGAGTCGCCCCATTCACTGAGGGAATTATTGTATTTTTGAGCGAAGACATATAATGAATAAATGCTCGCTGGATTTGTTTAAAGCCGTACTGTGGAACAGTCCAGGGAAAGCAGTAACATCTACATAGAGACAAGCAGAAAAGGTGCGCAATGTGGTAGTCAGTAAAATAAGTGGTCTAACATGTCATAGGGATTTATGTACTTGCTATAGTGGTGTTTTTATTTATTTATTTATTTCATTTAGTTGAATTGCCATTTCTGGACGCTTTCCATTATCTGTAAGGAAACCAGCCCAATTTGCTGCAGTGAAATGGACTGCTGTTGGCGCATTGCTTGTGTGCAGGTTGCTCAATCATTTTGGTGTCTTCACATAACTTTACTCTATGGGGTGTGTGGTGTGGGGGCGTATGCTTGTAGTCTGCCCCTGCGTTCATTATCCTGTGCCCGCCTTTAGCCTGCCTTTGTTGGCCAAGCTGATGTCATTAATGAAAAAGCTTGTCTCCGCTCTCTTATCTGGGATTACCTTGTCAAGGCTGACGGAGTAGTGCTCGTTGGCTTTTTGTACTGATTTTAGGAGGACGCAGGAGAAGGTGGTGAAAGAAGTGTGTCAGTTTGAGACTGTGTAGAGATTCACGGTTTATTAAAAGGTGGTAATCTTTTATTGGATGCTGCAATAGAGTAGAGAAACCATGTGGAGTGAAAGTAAATCAATAGGAAGAAGGATAAATACAAAGTGTTGATGTTATTTTGAGATGTGCAGAATGAAATTATCAAAAGAAAACTAATCTATAAAACTAATTTCACAAATATGAAATGTCTGAATACCTGAATTACAATATGAGTTGAATATAGAGTTTCAGTTTTACAATAAGGGAAAAAATACTGAATGTACTAACTTGGAAGTTAGCGTGTGTAATCAAACTATATAAAACATAACAAAATCAAATACTTTGAGATGTCCTTGAGTTAGCAAGAATTTGATAGCGTTTTAATAGGGTTACAGTTCCTTTAGGATCTGGAACATTGTATATTTTTTGCGTTTAGAGTTGATAGGTCTGACATCCCTTCTGGGTCTAAGGCAAGCAGCACATTGGCAAAATAACTGAAGAAAAGTTAAGTAATTAACCAATGAGCTAGTACAGTAACAAAGATTATAATATGTAATTCAGTAGCTCTATTAATCTGTTTAATGTTGATGACTTGACTCCCAAATAGCATTTCAACCTGATTTATTAACATGAGTTTACCTACCCACTCTGCAGAGACAGAAATAGTTTAATTGGAGCAGTGAGTGAGATTGGTTTGAAATCAATTACTGGTGGGATAATCAGCTGAAGCGCCCTCACTACGGAGGGCCCACCCAGCGCAGCACGTCATTTGGGCTCAGCATGTTTTAACTGCACCTCTAAAACGCGCACTGGTTCTACTGATGGAAAAGTTAGAACAAGAGCCATTTCCCTGTTAAACAAGTTAAATATAACCTATAGTCACTTTGAATTAACATCATGCTGGGGGTGTTTTAATGGTGTATTGTGTAACTTTTCTAGTGGAGGGTCCGTCAAATGCTTTTCCTCGTGGAGATGTTATTGCTTTGTCTGGAATGTTTCACAGTAGGGTATTAAGGCAGCCCCACTTACAGTCAGAATACCTGTTTTTTTAGATATTTTTGAGCTGTAATACCAGCTATAAATTCATAAATCTAAGGTGTTTAATGTCATACTGTGAAACATTCGTGGCAGAGCAATGACATACCCATAGAAACAAGCAGGCAAGCAACCAAAACATACATAGTGTACCTTAACATGGTGATACAATGCACAAATGTACATTAACAATGACAAAAATGTTTTAAGATGGTCTGAAACTGCAAAATGGATTTAAACAAGATATTTTCAGGAGCCTGTGTTCAATACAAGTGTTCACAATCCTGTTTAGGAGTTTGACTTTCAGCAACAAAAGTGAGAGTGACTAACGCCAAGTAGCTTGTGACTGTAATGTTATTCAAGAGGGACTTGGTCAACTCACCTGTTGTAGTTCTAACTATGTCAGATCTTTATGGTCAGAGAAGGCTCAACATTAAATAATACAAAATAAAAAACAAAATCAAAACTCTCTCATATGGGGTAAATGTGTTTTCCATATAGTACTAAATGAACCAACAATAATAATAATAACATATTGGTTTTGTTTCTGCTTTTTCCTCCAGAGAAATAAAGAGCATTCATGAGGCTAGCATCAAGTGTCTTTCATATTGATTCCAGCACCATTGTGGTTGGGTGTGATTGTTGCCTTGAGAGCGTCTTCACTGAGTGTCAATCAAAATAAGTGAGCTGTCGATGTGAACATGACGGGCCCGCATAATATTGACAGATGCTCCAGGCCTTTTATGGAGCAGCTTTATGATTGTTCCATACATCACTGCTTTAGTTTACCGTAGTTAGATTTTTCTGTACATGTTTTGAGATCCTTAAAATAGTTATATATTCTGTAATGTTTTTAGACATTCATGTATTTAGTTCGTATAGTAGGCCTATTTAAATTTGAAAGGCACTTATTGCGGCCTTTTCTGATCTATGTTGTAATATTATTTCCTCATCAAATCTTACCAGAAGTTGTGTTTTGTTTTATTCACACAAGTTTAATACATAAACCCTGTGTTTTTAGGCTGTGTTTTTCTTCCCTCTGTGATGTGGTAAGTGCCCCACTGTGTTTTTAAACTCCATACACCTTCACTAGACTCATTTGGAACATTTTAGCCCTGGAATTGGCAATCTCTACTGGACAAAAGGGATAAAAAGTAGCTGTTAACCTGAAAACTACAACTTCATAACATCACAAGGTGGAACAGGGGTTTTGAACTTTGGAT